AATCATGGCCATCCTGGGATCGGCAGACCACAAGCTGAGTGTCAGCCGTGAGGATGCAGTAGCTGTGGAAGGAGCCAGTGCGATCCTCAGCCGCAAGGGCCGAATTCTCGTGTCAAGCCCAGGGAGGTCTGCTCTGCTCTGCTCTGCTCGGTCCCTGACCGGCCGGGGTGCCTTCGGAAGGACATGGCCGGGCCCGAGGAGGTCCGGAGGAGAGCAGCCGAGAGAATTGGGGCCGTGAGGAGGGAGGGAGGGTGGGAGGTGTGGGGTGCATTTCACCTGGGGAGAAGAGATGGTGGGGAGCCTCTTCCAGGATCTGCAGGGCTCTCCTGTGCAAGACGGGGCAGGGCTGTCCACGGTTGCTTGGAAGGATGGGAATTGGGCTCAAATTTGGGGGAGGTAGATTCCAGCTGGACACCGGGAGAATCTCTTTGTGGTAGGAGCTTCCAGAAATGGAAGAGGCTTTCCTGAGAATTAAGCTGTTCTGCTCTTGTGGAGGGGCTCGTAGCTGCCTGAATGCTGGGTATGGTCCTCGGGTGAGTAGGAGGGATTTAGATCCGCACACGAGGACAGGCACCCTTGGACTCTCCTCTGCTGTTTGAAACTCTCGGGAAAGAGAAGAGAGGTTTGCAGATCAGATGGAACCAAAAAGTCATGCCTGAAACCAATCCAAGGATGGGAGTAAGAAATCTTCAGCCTCTCAGCATGACCAAATTCCAGGTGGTCCAGCCCACCAAATTCCCGTCAGAGATAGACCATGTCTTTAGGGAGAAATGTGAAAATGTTCAAAGACAATTTGAATAATGATCATAGAACCCACACTTAAGGGGAACATCCATGCAGAGCGGATGGAAAAAGTTACAAAGGGACTCTCCTTCCTTCTATCTGCAACAGAATTGACCTGGGGGAGAACCCTGTAAATGCAGGGAGTGTGGGAAGAGCTCCAGAAAGGGTGATTACCTTCCCACAAAAGGATCTACTTGGGAGAATCCCTAGAGAGGAGATTCACTGGGGTCCATCTAGGCAGACTCTGAGTTCCTCCTCTAAGCTCTGAAAGGGACTTTCTCTGGCTCCTGCCTTGGAGCACCTTGAACCAGACATTGCTGACCAAGGAAAAGCCCCAGAAAGAATTTATGGACTGAGGAAGGGATCGATAAGAAAGGAGGAATCTTGATTTATTCAAGACCAGAGCATTTTGTAGGTCCTATATTTGCAATGGAGCAACACGGTTGCCCAACAAGAATGGATGGAGCCCTGGATCTGGGTACTTCTGGAAGAGGGGGCTTTTCCCTTTTAATCCCCCCCCCACTAGCCTCTCCCTAAGGTGTCTTTCTCCCTGGAGGGACCCCCCAGTCAAAGGTAGGACCCAGCAGAAGCACCTGCCAACCCTCCTGGCCAGGAGATTGGAGGGTCCGTCCCACTCCCTGGCCCTCTTCCTTCTCAGGAGGGGGAAAAAAGCATGCCTTGAGGGCCCCTGTGAGAGGCTGCAGGAAACCTTCTGAGGAAGCCCTTGCTCAAAATTGTGTGTCTGCACAGACACAAAAGCTGCAGCGCGTGGCCCAGGTGATGCTGGTCCAAGAAAAGGGTCAAAGCAAAGGGGAGACATTGACCCCAGAGCTGGTCTGAGGAGAAAACGGCTTTTGCAGCTCCGTCCCTCTGACCCCCAAGTGCCTTTTTGACACACTTCTGTGCACAGCAGGGGCCCTTCCCAGACAGGCCCCATTCCTCACATTCTCCAGCATGACCTCTTCTTCCTTCACCATAGAAAAACACTTGTTCCCTGTTTAACACCTATCCAAAACTCGCCGGCGAATCAGGTCCCAAGGATTTCCCGCCTGTAAACCCCCAAGTGTATCAGGATCTCTGCCTTTCTCTTGTTCAGGGTCCCTCTTTCTTGGAAAGCAGGCGCCCAGTGATCCTTGCAGTTCTCCTCCTCAGCATTGTGCTCCTTTCTTTGGCAAAAAATTCCACAACAGTTTTGGTGTCAGCAGTGGGATCCAATGATCTGCTCTGGTGAGTTCTGGCTGCAATTGAGATCGGGTTCCCACAGGATCATTTGCGTCCCCTCCTCCCTTGGGCCAGCCCTCCCCAGAGCGGTGTCTGGGTCAGCTCCTGAGGAGAAAACCAAGAGACTCCCAGGACAGCACCAGTAGGTAAGAGTTGTGGACAGTTTAAGTCGCCACCAGGGTCACTTTGTGCTCTGGTAGGTTATGTGCAGGGTTTAGGTGGTGGCCGCTGGGCCTGTCACTCCCTTCCAAGCAGGACTCGGACAGGGCCCAGAGGACGATCCCAGGGGCCCCGGCGGCTCTGCCGGTTCCCCTTCCAAGCAGGGCACGGCAGGAGCAAGAGAGAAGGGTTGGGAAGAAGCAAAAGCTGACCAGCATCGTGAGGGTGAGTCCGGAGTAATTGGATCCAGGTTGTCCGCAGTTTACAACATTACAGCAGTTTACAACATGCGTATATGTTTTTTGTGAGTCTTTGTGCTATTTGCGAGCTCATCTTGGCTCCTTTTTGTTGCTCTGTGCAGCCACACCTAGGAATTCCCAAGTGGACTGCTTAGAAAGCAAGGGGGTGGAGCAGCTCTTTCTCTCTCTTTTTCTCTCTCCCCCCGGAAAAAAGAGAAGAAAAGAGGGGACTATGGGAAAAAGGCAGTCCGAGCTTCCCTAGGTAGCCCCGGAGCCTTTATGCTGCAAAAGTACGGCAAAAAAGGTTGTTAGAAACAGTTGTTTATGGAGTGATCGGACAAAGGAATCTGCTGAGAACCAGTTCCTGGGGTTTCCGCTAAAAAAGATTACTTGTTTAAAATGAGAAAATGTTAAAGAAAAAAAATTAATCTAGCAAACAGATGTGGGAAATCTACTATTGATGGGAAGGAGAATGTCATTTTAAAGATGCCCCACAGCAAGCAAATACTAAAAAAAAAAGAGAAGAAAATCAAACTATCTCCAGGTTGCAAGAGAGTAACAAAAGCCTGAAGCAGCAAAACGAAGAGTTAGAGGAACCAGTTGCTGGGCTGAGGGACCATCTGCCCCACCTGTTCCTTTGTATCCCGCCATTCCCAAGGCTTTGCCAACCCCTCCTTCTGCCCCAAGGGTCCCCTAGAGCCTTTAGACACAATGGCCACCTCCCATATCTTTCCTCCCCATACCAAGAAGCAGAAACCCCCCCGTTTGATCAGGCGGGCACCCTCAGACCTCATGCCCAAGCCCAGGAACACCCAACTACTCTAAAGTTAGAGAACTACTAGACCCCACCACATAC